TGGAAAATTTTGAGTTGTGACCCTTTTGTATTTAGGGTGCGATATGTTTACACATCAAATTTCGTGAGTAGGTACCTGGTACTCACACCTTTTTTAAGAGGTTTCACTTCTATCATGTGTGCGGTGCTACACACGCCCTTTTTATTACTTCTTAGCATAAATTACAGTTTTTTTTTTCAAAATTTCAAATTTTAAAGATTAAATTTAAATATATTTTTCGATTTCTTTGAAAGTAAATTTTTAAGATAATAGAGGGCGATAAAGGTGCAGCGTTTCCTCTTTGAGAGAGTAGTTTCAGCTACTCTGTGCATTCCAGTGGCTACAGGAAATCACTACCTTAATATACGGATGCCGTATGTACATAGCAAAACTTCACTTTTCAGAAGACGGCTTTAAATGTATAATAGCAAATATCTGTTTTTTTTATTATTTTTGGCCTTTAAAATAATTATATTCCACAATTTTATTGAGCTTGAGGCCGTTTTTATGAAAAATGGTATGGAAAAAACAATAATTTACATATGTACATATAGGTAGAAGTAATAGCTGCTATTTCGGAGATCACCACATCTCCCCATCAGACTTCTTCCAGCCAGTGGTCTACACACTGTGCCTAGGTCGCCTTATAAACTGTTGTTGCGGATGTGGTGATTTCTGTTATAGCTTCTACCATTTATAAACTATTGATGTTTTTCCACAATAATTTTTTAATAAAAATGGCCTCAAGCTCAATAAAAATTGTTTATTATTATTTATTAGGCCAATAAAGAATCTAAAAAAAGTGTTTTTTGCATTCCAGTGACGGTTTAAAATGTATAACCGCAAATAGCTGGTTTTTGTTATTTTTGGCCTTTATAACAGTTGTATTCAACAATTTTATTGAGCTTGAAGCCGTTCCTATGAAAAAATGTTGTGGAAAGACAACAATAGTTCACATCTCCTCATCAGACTTCTTCATTGGGATTCAATATAGCGACCCCAGAGAACAAAGCCAATGGTCTACCCACTGCGCTAAGTTCGCCTTATAAACTGTTGTTGCCTTTTCCACTTTTTCACATGTCAACCCAACTACAATCAAGGGCAGCTATTCTGCGGCTATCTACACTTGATCATGTCGTAATTGTGGTTGTTGTTTTTGTTTTATTAGTTAAATAGCAAATACCCGTCGTGCTTCACTGCGCCTTGAAGGTATTTTTGTGTTGTTTTATACCCGTATTGTAATATTTCATTTATTTTATCAATATAATTAAATTAAAATTTTCAAACAGGTGGCAACCCTCCTCTAAAATATTTTCAGAAGTAAACTTTCCTAAACCTCTTCAGTTTGATGCCCATAATACAACAATTATTAACAAAAACCAACAAAAACAACATAGACATGACCAAGTGTTAATAGCAGCGGAATAGCTTCGCTTGATTGTAGTTGGCTTAACAAATGAAAAAAGTGGAAAAAGCAGCAACAGTTTACGTGGCAAACTTACCTTAGTGGGTAGAGTGCTGGCTTTGGCCGCTGGAGTCGTTGGATCGAATCCCAGTTGAAGAAGTCTGATGAGGAGATGTGGTGATCTCCGAAATAGCAGCTATAACTTCTACCAAAATGTAAATTGTGATTTGTTTCCATAAAATTTTTAATACAAACGGCCTCAAGCTCAATAAAATTGTTGAATATAATCTCCTCATCAGACTTCTTCAACTGGGATTTGATCCAACGACTCCAGCGGCCAAAGCCAGCACTCTACCCACTAAGGTAAGTTTGCCACGTAAACTGTTGCTGCTTTTTCCACGTTTTTCATTCGATACAGCGACCCCAGCTTACAAAGCCAGTGGTCTACACTCTGTGCTAAGTTCGCCTTATAAACTGTTGTCGCGGATGTGGTGATCTCCGAAATAGCAGCTTTAACTTCTCCGATTTATAAACTATTGTGGTTTTTCCTCAATAATTTTTCAACAAAAATGGCCTCAAGATCAATAAAAATTAAAACAAAATGTGAAAATGCAAGTTTAATTTTTTATAATTAACTTTTAAAATTAACTACGAACTTCACACAAATCAAATTATTGTCTGTCATTTAGCATCAATGTATTATTATTTTTTTTTTTTGGATTTTCATCAGATGCCACCTCTGGGCAATGATAAAAAAAAATATGCGTATAAGTAAATTTGAAAATTTGAACCCAAATGGATCTCACCCCTTTTAAGTCCGATGGGTGGAACGCTACGATATTTGCCATTATTTCTACTTACCTGATGCAAAACGTGTTGCCACAAGGGTATCAACTGAATAAAATTACGTCTAACTCCATTTTTAAATGCTTTCGAAAATATTCTTCTTGAATCTTCACTCCATACTGTGTCAATTGCGGCTTTCCTTTCGATATTGATTTTTTTAGGTAGCAATGTATTTAGTCTCTGCAAAATAGCAAATGTTAGATAAGCTATTTTTAATTTAAAATTTAATACGAACCACAAAATAGTTGAGCGCAACCTGCTCACGGACTACTCTATCCTTAATGAAATACACGTAACCGTAGTCGTCCTTCCTAGCGATGTCAAACAGATATCTGTTTATTACATGTACTAGCTGAAGACACCAAACTGCCGACAAATGATCACAACTTATCCATACTTTCGGTATTGACATAGTCTTCAATGGTTAATGTAGGTAAGATTTTATATGGTTTTAAGAATAAATGATAACAATAAATTATTTACCATGGAATGTATATCGCTAAATTTTGAAATCGTGAACCCAGGTTGAACTAGTAAATCCCGATTTCCACCTCCAATGGAGATAAGCAGTACATCTATCAAAATTACGTTTTCATAATCGAAATGGTTATTCAGTAAACGACGACTGTATGAGGTTGAACAAATACTTGTATTTTTATCTGCTTTGAAGAACGGACGCACATTGGACAAATGTTTATTTATATCGTTGTAAAAAACTTCAATTTTTTCATCAAAAATTAACACAGGTTTGTTTATAGGAGCAGCTAAAGAAATAATTGTATTGATGTATTTCGATATTTCAATGTCTTTCAATACGGCATGTGCTACCACAGCACCCATGGAATGACCAATCAATATCACTTTTCTTTCCGCTACTTTACTATTAATATAAAGCTTTATAACGGTATTTATACAATGTTTCAAATATAGTGTTTGTCTTTCTAAATAATTTCCATAAAGCGCTGAAAGCTCTTCGTTGAAGTCGACTGCAAACATACATGTGCATATGTAAAACAATTTGTTTTTAAAACAATAGAAATAAGTAAATTTCTTCTTTATAACTGTTCAACAACTACATACTTACTTGTGTAATAATCCAAATGCATGCCAGTAACACTTCCTCTTCCTTTTTTTAAAGCTACAGATGCTAGAGAACGCACCTATTTTTAAAAGAAATTAAGGTTTAACTTTTTTAAACAAAAACATTGTGACAATCAAAACATTTAATGTTAACTTTAAATGTTTAATGTTAACTTTCTTAAATAAATAAATACATAAATAAATTATGTTACATAAGTAAGCGCACCTCACTAAACAAAATGGCATGTTCAGAGCCTAAAAATAAGCAATAAAAAAGCAACTTCAAGTGCTTAGATAAAAGCACTAAGATATTGGTCAGTATGCTTGCACATACGCTCCAAAAACCGCGCAAAACAATTTAAATATAGTTTAATATTCGGTTTTTGTTCAGTTTATTTGAAAAATTACAATGGATAATCAAGTGTTTTTCTCAAATAATGAAGATTTGCGCTGGCCGTTTAAAGGCCGGTTTTTCAGGGCACGGTTAAGGTTTAAACGCTCGAGCTGGCTAGTTCAAACTAAGATTAGCCAATCAAATGCCAGTCAGCTGTTCAATATAAACGCAGTTTACGCAATCTAAGTTTAAACTGGACCTTAAAAACTGGCCCTAAGAGGGTTGCAAAGAAGGAAAACGACCTTCCGACATGTACTAATGTTACTGTTCAAAATTTAAAATTTGATATTGCCACTTTTTTACTATTACTGAAAATAATGCGGTTTATATTACAAGAATATGCTCAACCTTCCTGTTTACCAAACTGAATTTAATATTTTAATATATTCCGTATTCTCCATTTGAGTTAAATTACTCATATTATTAATATAATAATATTATATTCTCTTATATATAATCATAAAATCCCTTCAGAAACACCAATGCCTTCCCGCAACATTTGGATTCCAGGCGAATTTATAGAAATAATAAAATAATGCAAAAAAAAATCTTTTAAAAACAAGCTTTTATATAACATGTACAATCAAATGAATAAAATAAAATAGTGTAAGAAAAGTGTTTTTAGCAAGAAGTTTTGCACTAAAACTAATAAAATCTCAAGTAGCACACTGGTGTATAACTTGGTGTATATTTATGAATTCTGGTACATATGTGTTTAGATTAAATAAAAGATAATATTTTGGTGTATTTGTCATCCCGCCAGTACTTCTTCTCAACTCAAAATTCTGCCTTTAACGTTTTGGTACTATTTATTCATTGAGATTTGTACGAAAACTGCACCAGCTCCTAAAATGCACCACTTTTTTTTTATTTGGTTCACAAATTACAAATTAATGCTAAAAAAGGCGTATTCTTTCCTTTAATTCACACTCTGTAACCCCGTATACATTTTATTCCTTCATTCAAATAAAAGAGACAGCACTTAAGTTAAAAAACATTCATTTTATTATTTCCGTTTTTATACATACATATGTATTTTGTTAGACACTGAACTGTATCTATTTTAATGGAAATTTCTTAATGATAAATACATAAATAAACAGGGTAGGGTTTAGTATACATATCGTCATTTTAAGTACAAAACCTAAGAATGAAAACAAAGAAAACGAAAAATGCGCGGTGGTTGAGTGCGATTATATTGGTATTTATCATCAAATATACTAACTGAAACTGAATAAAAATGAGGCAAAGGTGTTCATAAAATATGGTTTTCTTGATAGAAAATGTTTTGCAACCACGTAGCATCAGCACAGTTCGATTTTTTCTGACCGCAAAAGTGCACCCACTTTTCACGCAAATTTACGCCTCTTGGCAAACCAAACCAACGCACAAACTTGTTCAAATCACAAAGCACTTCATTTATATCATAAATTTGAAAGAAATCAAAATTTATAGTTTAAATCGCTGCAGAAAACACATCAAGTCGCTAAAAGATCACTATGAAGAGGTAGAAGACGATGTCAACAAAACCAAAGAACATCAAAAACGATACGAAAACTATTTTCCGAAAATCGTCACATATGCTGCTGACTCTGCCTATAAGCTAGAGATCTGAAAAATAAGAAAAAATACCAATTATCTCTTGATAATATGATAAGAATGTGTGTTTACAAAATTAACTCTTTCCGCAATTCCTGATAATTTCTGTGGGCAATTGACAATTGTCCAAAGAATTCACCAAAAAATGTATATTGAATACACCACACAGTAGCTTTGTTTCTTTACAGATATTTATCACTAGCAAGGCGAATTTACACAAGATAGTGTTATACCATGTTCGGACCGACAACGAAAATACTTTGACAACGAGTTTTGGGATTGTGTGCTGTAAGCTGTTCGCACCGGCTGTTAGAGTTTTCGTTGACATTTCTTTCATCCTTTGTTTACAGTTTTGCTACGAAAAAACAAAACCATAATATTTTTCTTTCATTTTCTTATTATTAGCAACCTTTATCGTTTATTTATATTTTAATTTGGCCAGCCAATTAGCAATAAATCCCAACTAGCATATTAGAGATGATAAAATATGACTTACACTTCGATAAATATATCTAAAAAACAAGTGAAGACACCGATTGGAATGGGTGGAATGTGAGTTTTCAAGTAGTTTTCAGCGAAAACTGGTTTTCGTTTGACAGATTTTACAAGGACGAAAACACAAGTTTTAGGTCGAAAACCAGTCTTAGCAACTAAAACATGTTTTCGATGGCGGTCTGAACATGGTATTAGCCGTAAAGAATAATAGAATAAATTTCTCGTGTAAAAATAAACAAAGCCGAAGGGAAGGATAGAAGAAAATGTCAGAAGAGTCAATTATATTAATACTCCATTTTTCTATAGGAAATGAGTTTTAATTACTTTAAATTGTGAAAATATGATTTGTAATAATTAATAAATAAAATCTGCGAACTGTGGAAAACTGTGATTTTAGTGAAAATAGGCATAAGTGCAGAATACGGCCCGTTAAGCTAGAAAGAAACGAAGCAGTGGCGTTGTCCACCCTTTTTTTCTAATTCTAATGGTATAAAATTTTTTTGGTGCAAATTTATATTGCAGGTGCTATGGAGTGGGAAAGGGGCAATTTTCTTTTTATTTTATTTTTGTAAACAGAATAAAAATTGTAACCACATAACCTGATAACCAGGCAAGTGTGAACAACACTAAATTTCACTCTGTGAGCGTAATTTTGTAATTTTTGCCGTTCGTCTTCCTGATACTTATCTGCTACAAAAGTAAAGAAACAAAGCTAGTGTGTGTGTACTTAATACACCACGAATTTGAATATGAGCCAGTGTTGCCATGGACAAATTTTGTTTCCTACCAAATTTTCCTACCAAACTCAACCAAAACCTACCAAAATTGTATTTAAGTTTTTAGTATATTTTTGATGTCAAGTTTATTAAAAACGTAGATAACATAACATTTAGAAAAACCAAAATACAGCTAGTACAATAAAAACAAATTAACTACGCATAGACATTCACCTACCAAAATCCAATATAGCCTACCAACCTACCAAATGGGAAAAAAAAACCTACCAGTTTTGGTAGGAAAACCCCATGTTTGGCAACACTGATATGAGCTATTAAACATTTCACAAGTAGTGTTGCCATTAGCATTACCATTTTGGTCAAATTGGTAGTTTTATTTTCCTTCGGTAGACAAATTGTGTAGGGCTCTTCTACATTGACTGAGTTCAGACACGGAAACTTTTGGCGCGGAACTGGTTACTTGTAGGATTGCATTCTACTGTTCTAGCGTAGTGTTCGTTTGTAAAAATTGTAAGCAAAATTGTCGATTGGCGATTATAAAAAGTTGCTGTTGATGTTGAAAAGCTCTAAAGTCTACTAAATGCTATATGTTCTATAGGTATCTATTGCATTTTCTTTTACTTTTTAGACATAAGGTAATTGATATAAATTGAATTAATCTCAAATATTAAAATTTTTACATAAAGTAAATATGAAACGAAATAAAATATCATGTTCTGATGATACAAAAATTGGTTGTTTGGAAACTGATTTGGTAGGATTTTTGGAACGTAAAAATAACTGCAGTGGCAACATTGGTTGGTATGGTTAATACACCAATGGTGAGGATTTCTTTCACTGTTCTCAGCAAATTAAATATGCCGAAAAATATGTTTTGGTATATATAGTCATGGCAAAAAAAATAGGGGCACGACATTTTGATTCGTTTTTGTTTTTGTTTAATTAAAGATTATTATATTTTTTATTAAAAAAAATACAGCTTATTATCTAACAAAAACCATATAAGTCGGAGTTTGAAAATTGTAGAAATTATAAAAACTCAAAAAGATTTTACAACAACGACAAACTTTTTATTACGAATGTAGTTACAAGTAGCTATTATACGTACGAATGTACGGAGCTAATTAACGTTGCTTTTTTTAGAACTTTTTTGTCGGATTTACTTCCATATAACGAATAAACACAATCTATTTTTATATGGAAGAAAACCGCTACACGGTCAGCAAAAAATATCAAAAATCAACGCCTTTCTTAGTTACTTGTTCTTGTAAAATCTTGTTGAAAAAAGATTTTTGTTAGATAATGAGCTGTATTTTTATAAAAAATACCAAAGATTAAGTAAACGAAAGAAAAAGAGCAAAGCTTGTCAAAATATCGTGTCCCTATTATTTTTCACAATACTGTATTTCCCAACTGCGCATTGTTCGTCTTTTTTAATTGACAAGGTACATTTTTTATACCAAATTCTCAAATTGAATGGTGTAAATTGTGAATATTTCTAAGTCTAAGGCAAAATAAATACACCGTTCTTTTGGCTTGGTAAATATTTTGTACCAAACTCAAGAATCAGTGTAAGTTTTCGACGACGACCATATTTTCAAAGTATTATGAAGGTAAGGCTATGTTTACAACCTAGAGTAATGGCGTTGCGCGATGCGATGGATATCGCTCGATCAAAATTAGGCGTGTATTATTTGACAAGAAATTTAAGCTATTAGCTTATTTTGTGTGGAAGTCGTAGCCAATATAGTGACTCCTTCGCCAGCATAATCGCTATCGATTAAAAAGCAGAAAGTGTTTAAAGTGTAGCAAAATTATACACGATTAAATATTAGGTTTTTTCCACACGAGCCCGCGGCTACCCGCGGGTGCCCAAAATGTCCAGAAAGCTTTCCTCACTCTAGAAAAATGGGTAATAGAGAGCACATACCTTCCACTTTTGGATCGTAAATGTCTTCTTCTTCGTGCCCGAAACAGCCCGGACTTTTTTTCCGGGCAGAAATGTGCAAGAAGTCAATTTTAAATAACAGCTGTTGTTTGTTTACATTCGATAGCAAATTTTGTAAAATACAGAAATGGAAAATAGCACTAAAGGTTCAGAAATGTAGGTATCTGCTAATTTTATTAGCTACATATATAAGATAAATAAATATAAAATCATTGTTTACAACTGATTTCTTGATTCCGGGCACGAAAAGTAGTTTTTTGCGTTCCTCACGCTCTGGGCACTTTTGGCACGGTTTGACACATTTTTGAGACTTGTGAGAGAGTAACTTAATTTTACGCTCTAATTACTGAAACAGCCCGGAAAGCGTATGGAACAAACCTATTTATAATAGGAAAGTTCACGATTTTAGGTGTAAAGTTGGCAAATGCTATTCATCGTGAACTGCCCTATTATAACTAGTTAATCGTGTATGATTTTGCTATACTTTAAACACTTACGGAGATCTTTTTATTTGTTTCTATAACCTTTTGACAATTCATGCTGAAACCTAAGCATATTGTACTGTATGTAATAGCAGTAGAAGAGCTGTTTTGATTTATTATGTACACATGTACATATATGTATGTATGTATGTATGGCTTTAAATATGAGAAAAGCTATTCACTTTACAAAAGACATATTTTTCATTTGCTTTCACAGCGATAAACACGAACGACTGTGTAAATGATGGCTAGTAGCGATTTTTATGTATTCTCGCTACGCTAATACGCTAGGTTGTAAACTTAGCCTATTCCTGAAACTCGGCTGGCCGCCATATTGAAGCTGTATGACTATTATTTAGCTAATTTAACAATTTCATTATGTACATTGACTCAACTATGCCACTTTATGGATATTTTCGACCCTGTTTTAAACAGCGCATCTCTTAGAAATTAAAAAATGGCCAAAAAATCACTACTTTCAAAATATAACTTTTTCCAGATTTATTTAAAATCTTCAAAACCTCGTAAATTTTGAGGCGCTCGATTTTTAGAGGGGGTATGACCGAAATTCACTCGACAGAATGTACCTCGTTTTCAAAATAGGAACTCACATTCATATATATTCGCGATTTTCATACCTGCATATTATGAATGCTGAGAGTTATAAAAAGAATTCCAAGTTGTGCAGATTAAAAAAGAGCTTCGGTGTAAATTTTATGTCTGAGTTAATTTTAAATTTGATTATTAGTAAATTTTATTCCTCGAATCTTTTCGTACTCTTCACACTCATGGGAATATATTTATGCTAGAATATGATGTAAATAATTTACCATTATGGTGTATGATTTGAGCCAATTATGAGTACGCATTTTACACCACGTCGATGCAAAAAATACACAAAATATTTTGGTGCATTTTTGACTTTTGTGCTACTTGAGATAAGTTTAGCATTTGCTAAAATTACCAAAAGCCAAATGGTGAAAATAACTACTCAAACTCGAACGATAATTACCAACAATTTGAATTGATTTACGTCATTTTTAAAAAAGCTTGTCGGAATTCAACATATGTATGTATGTTTATATGAAATATATAAACATATATTATATTATATGAAATTTTTAAATTGTCATTTTTTAATCGCTTGTCCTATTTGGGTCAAATCTAGTATATATTCGGTGACCATAATTATGGCAGCCGAATACGGGACTAAAAATAATTTTGGCAATTTTTTCCACAGAAGCGAGAGGATTTTAAAAATCTTTTTCAATGATTCTAGATTTGTTAGCCTTGAAACAGCATTTTATTTGGCATATATTTTTCGATATTTTGTGAAAGCAGCACATAAATATTCAGTTGTAACATCACACACTCGTAGAATATTTTTCCATAACTTTGTACTTTGTGCTCGGGATTTTTACCCCGCAAAATTTTTTTCAAACATTCCTAGGCAGGGAAACATGATGAAAATATGCGACTACTTTTTAAACACGAGTGGTATTCAACGAGTTATTTACCTTGTTTATATGGCATTAAACGCGGTATCGAATAAACTCGTGTCAGTTTAGCTCGCTTGAAATGCAAGTGTTTATATTCAACAAAAGAAATGAGTCGAATGAACACACTCTCAAACTGTGTTTTCCCGATGCAACCCTGTTAATATACATACATATGTGTCAATTCGTGAAATTAATAAACATTCAAGGAAACATTCGTGAAATTTATAAACATTCAAGGAATTAATGGAAGAACAAGTGTTATTTTATTACTTGCGATTCGTTATGAAGCGCTTGGAGTCGAAACGCATAGTTATTTGCCAAGAATATATTGATTTCCATCGGCAAATGTTGGATAATGCAAAGCAGCTAACAAGTTTATTTAAAGATATTTTGGCGTTGCAGAGTGGTGTGCCCGAAGCCTTCTTCAAGACAAATATTCCACGGTTTCGCAGCATACATGCACGGGAGCGGTGTGATAATTTTATGCGGTTTCTTGAAAAAGAAGGAAACGAAGTACTTTATTACGAATCATTTAGGAAGAACAAAAATCCTTCTATTCACTTTGTGAAAAATTATCACCGTATCTTCCCTGTCCGGCGGTATTTGTGATACCACCTTTGCCAATTCCAAAGCAGGTTGCGTTATGCCTATATAAACTAGCATCATGCGCTGAGTATCGTGTTGTTGGAGACGTATTTGGAGTACATAAAAGCACGATGCATAAGTACTTTCACCTCGTGATTAAAGCAATTCTACAGCTTCGAAAAGAATACTTAAATTTCCCAAATTAGAGGAGGCAGAGGCAATTGCTACTGTTTTTGAGAAAGTTACTTGCATACCCAACATTATTGGTGCGATAGATGGTAAGCAAAAATTAAAAGTTAAAAAAAAATCATTAACAAAAAAAATATTTTTCAGGAACCCATATTCCAATTGATGGATATCAAGATTACATAAACCGAAAGGGATAGGCGTCAATAGTTATGCAAGCAGTAGTTGATAACAATTACTTGTAAGCTTAAAAGATGTACATAAGTACATATCGATGGCTGAGGGGAAGATCGACCAGTTCGAAAACGCCCTATCTCAGAAAATGTTTCAACAAAGCCCTACTTCAGAATTTGACTGAAGAACGCCATATTTCACAATTTATTGAAAAACACACTATCTCAGAATTTGCTTGAAGAACATCCAATCTCAAACGAAAATACATTGAAAATGTGCTGAGATAGGGCGTTTTTGAACCGAATTCTGAGATAGGGCGTTTCTCAATCAAATTCTAAAATATGGCGTTCTTAAACCAAATTCTGAAAAGGGGCTTTGTTGAAACATTTTCTGAGATAGGGCGTTTTCGAACTGGCTACCGCGATATATTGGCCGGTCTTCCACTCAGCCATTGATAAATGGTAGCAGCTCGGCAATCTCAACATTAGGTTACCGTGACAATCGATATTCCGTGCTGTCACTTTATAAGGATAATGATGATTTAAAAAGTACAATAGAAAGATTTAACAACCATTTTATTTGCCACATTTCGAGATGTCAGTGTAAAATTTCCAGGGAGCACCCATGACGCAACAATTTTTAAAGAGTCTGGAATTTACAAATACTCATCGCAAGTGATTCCAGCTTACTCTTCTGATGTTAACGGATTACAAACACATTTTATGATAATTGGAGATCCTGCGTATCCAATGCTTCCATGGCTTATGAAACCTTACACGGGATGCCTAGACCTCCAAGAAGAATCATTTAATTGTTATTTAAGCTCGGGACGAATAGTAGTGGAAAATGCGTTTGGTAGATTAAAAGGACGATGGCGGTGTCTCTTAAAAAGAATGGACATTGACCCATAATTCGTTCCATTTATCATTTTAGCGTGTTCGATTTTACACAATTTTGTGGAAGTAAAAAAGCAGCCCTTTATTGATTCTTGGTATTCAGATGCTGAGAGCGAGTTTCAATTTCCACAATCACAACATGTAGTTTCAATTGAAATCATGTCAGATGAACATTTAAATCCAAAGCTCATACGCGAAAGAATAAAGACATTTTTAGCAAATAATTTTCCAATTCGAAAATCCCACTTTTCCACAAGGAATTAATTCGAAATGTTATTATTATTTTTATTAATTTAAATTTAAAATATAGTTCGATCCATGATAAAAACATATGTGGTAAGATAAAACCGTTTTATCAATTCATCGGCCATGATTTTTTTAAGGTATTCCAACATTTTAAAATTATATAAAATTGAGAATAAAAAACAGAATTTGTTCAAAATTGTTGTTGTTTGGATTGAAAATGAGAATGTGTTCGTAAGTTTGTGTTTAAAATTAAATTGCTTGCAAACGTCAATAATTTTAAGGGCCGGTTGTTCAATGTCTGATTAGCACTAATCGGAGGTAGAAGCTCTGGTTAATTACAACGACAGCTTTATCGATCACATGTTATAAGCATGATGTCGAAAACGTCGATAATGATGTTTAACCGGCAAGTAGTGATAACCAGACATTGAACAACCGGCCCTAAGTGTCTCTCAGCAATTCTACCTTGCTATATTTTTATCATGGTTCGATCCATAACAGAAAAAGAACACAAAAGTTTCAAAGCTGGAGTATCAAGTATAAATTACATTTATTCAAGTATAAATTCAAATTATACATTATGTATACATGTACATTGGACTGCATCACTCCCCATACAAAACAACCGGTACTGTTTTTCCATTGGAATTATAAATTCTATTATATTTTAAGACGTCCACCAAAATATTTCCGAAAAATATTAAGATTTAAGTGAGCTGGACCGATTTGAAAATACCTCCAAAAATGGAGTTTTTTATGAATAAAAATAGTTTCTTAAAGATGTTTTTTAAAATAATTCCCTTAAATGACAAGACGGTTTAAGCTAAAAAAATTTATATAAAAATATTTAAAAAAAAATTTAAAAAAAATTTTACGGAATCGTAATAATGAGATTTTTGATGCTGTTTTTAACGTTTTTCAAAGATTGGTATAAGAAAAACTTTAATAACTGAACCTAAACTCTTCCGATTTAGACTTGGAGGGTATCATTGGAAAGGTATTTTCTCACCCTTTTTATTTCTTTGCTAATAAGCTCATTCAAAGGATGAAAGAGAAAGGTAGGATGAACGAACATCATTCAAAGTTGAATTAAGATGTGTTGGTATTTGAAAAAAAAAAATTGGGATACGAATGACTTTTTTGCACACAAATAAAAAGAGTGGGAAAATACCTTTCTACCGAGATCCCATAAGTCTAAATCAGAATAGTTTTGGCCAAGTTATTTAAGTTTTTCGTAAATCAATCTTTGAAAAAAGTAAAAAAACAGCATCAAAAATCTCATTATTACGACTTCGTTGAAAATATTTTTATGCAGATTTTTTAAGCTTAATCTAGTTTGTGATCTGAGGGGACTTTTTTCAAGAAGTTCTTTAAGAAACTATTTTTATTCATAAAAAACTCCATTTTGGAGGTATTTTCAAATCGGTCCAGCCGGTTTCCGAAATATTTTGGGGGACGTCTTAAAATATAATAAATTTTGTAATCCCGGTGGAAAAACCGCAACTTTTTTTGGTGATGCAGTCTAATGTACATGTATGTATGTATTATATGTATGTATGTATCATATGTATGTATACATATGTACATATATGTACAGTGCCGAACAGAAGTATTGGCACAGTGAATTTTTCGCAATATATGCAAAGTTTTTTATTCTAATTTATTTTCGATAATTTTTTATAAAAATATTGTTTATTCTACATCAGAAAACATAATAATAAAATCTCTAAACTTTTTGAAAAACTCAGGAAAATTCATTAAATTTGCACACTAATTTGCAACAGAATAAAGACAATTCTTGATGAACGCCTGCAAATAAAATTGGAAGATATTTAAGGTATTTAGTCTGAAATAAGTCTTTCTGTATTGGATTTCTATGGAGTAATGATACTCCCCCATTTTGAAATTGCCACCAACTAACCGGATCATTGTTGTCGCAAGAACTTCTTCTCGGACATAACACTTTCGTTAGGTTATCTAAGACAGCAATGGAGGAGATTTCTTCTGACGGCCACGAAACCAAACGTGAACGTGAATTGTTGGTGAAAAAATAATTTTGGGCGGGATGAAGTTCACCGGATCTGCTAGTATATACATAAAGTAAATGCGCTAAATACTCTAGTTCAAAGTATTCGGGTACTTTGGAGATGCAAAATACTTTCACTAAAGTACTAAGGTATTTATTACATTGCTAAATACTTACAAACTAAATACTTTTGAGAGTTTCGAGACTATTTCGGGATTCCCGGGACTATTTAGAAATTTTGATATCGAAAAATTTAATGATTTGCAATCGTTATATTTATATCGATGTTGTTATCGATGATTATCAATATAATAGTCGATATTTTTATCGATATACTAATCGATATTTTTACTGATATTTATTTATCAATATTGTTATTGTATACTAATCGATATTAATGATCGATATTTTTATTGATATACACATTTATCGATATATTTGGGCGTGAGAAACCTAAATAGTCGCTGGAATAGTAAAAATATCTAGGAACCCCGAAGTAGTCTCGAAAATCCCGTAAATAGTCCAAAAAAAAATCGAAAATCCTGAAATAGTCTTAAAAATTCCGAAGTAGCCCCGAAAATGCCGAAATATTATTGTACGCGTTAGTTAGTGAAGCCAATGTCTCAATGTACTTTTGTACGTGGTGCTGCGTTAGGTGAAACTAACTAAATATATTTAGACTAAGTATTTAGCGCTGTGATAATAAGTAGTACAACACAAATACCTAAATATTTAGAAATTAATTTTTAGAAAATAACATTTTGCAATGACCTCATTGCAGGTTTGTTTTCAGTTTCCTGCTGTGCTTTTTTTTGTGGTTATTGATGTTACCCTAGGTCTACGTTTGTTGCTTTAATTGTCAACACTACAAGTTTTTTTGGTTTTTTAGGATCAGACAGGATTAACCCTGAAAATATGATCGAAAAAATAAAAATCATAAAATAACGATTAAAAATGATCGAAAAAATAAAAATCAAAGAGTAACGATTATTTTTGATCGAAAAAATAAAAATCATAAAATGATTAAAAATGATCGAAAAAATAAAAATCAGATAATAACCATTATTTCTGATCGAAAAAATAAAAATCATAAAATAACGATTAAAAATGATTGAAAAAAAATCAAATAATAACGATTATTTTTGATCGAAAAAATAAAAATCATAATATTATCGTAATTAAATAAATCGAAAAAAATCGATTATTTTGAATAAAATCCTTCATGATAACGATTATTTTCGGTCTCTGGTAAGAATACATTTATTACATGCCATTTGAGTATTGTGCATGCTCAGATTCCCTAAATAAAAAAATAAAAAATGGTATATACTTACGGTGACCATCCGTCCTGTATTATGCGGGACAGTCCTCTTTTTTCGTTCTCGGTCCTGGTAATTTATTTATTTCATACGGGACGCCAAATGTTCTGTATTTCTTTTAATGTCCGGTATTTGTCCCGTATTCGGTATTTTGGCGCCTCTGCGTCAAAATGACATGTCTATGCGTTAAAAATGACATGTCTATGAATGAATTTTTATTTTTAAGTCTGGACGCTTGCGATTCGAATCAAGGAGCACATACATATGTAGATGGATTCTGAATTTATAGTTTTGCGGAGAAAATCTGTGTATTTGTGAGTATGAATCGAAAATAGACGTTAATGATATTTCTAAATATTTAGTATTTAGCTTTTCATAGATTTCTTTCAACGCATTTAGAGCAGATAATTTTACCTTTTTCGAGACTTTCGTCTTTAAATTTTCACTTTTGCTCACATTTTACTTTAGAATTTCAAACTTTGTTTACGTATATGGATTCCAAAGCCCACAAGAAATACATACGGCTTGCTGTCTAACGTGCCGGGTGTGGAGGCAGTTTTCAAATTTTGTGAAGAGAGAAGATATTCATTAGGCGAAACTACACCAAAATAAATTATTGCTGATTGTACGAGGGATTGTATATTCAACATGAGAAACTGTAAATAAGATGACTACCATGAGAACGTTGTAAAAGTAAAGAAGTTCTCAAAGATGGAAGTGTACGTTTTACATTCAGCGCGTTCCGGATGATATTCACTACATTGCGCTTGGTCGAAATCCGAGTCTGACAATTACCTTGTTTATATGTCGCTTTAATCCGTGCTAAGTCAAACCATGTTATTTGGACACACCCATGTAAACACATTCTTAAATCGAATTGAAACTTTTAACCGTGCCACCATAAATCACATTTTGAATGCGAGTTATGAGTTGATGAATCGTATTGAGTGTGCATGTAAACACGGGATTAGTCCACACGGTTGTTTCATGCAACTCTGTATGAAGTAAAACATAAAAGGCGCGTAAATTACATTTTTGCTAAGCTTCATTATAAAATTCGTGACTGTTTATTTGTTTAAACTTGATCAATTAAAATGGACAAATTAAACAAACGTGATATTTGGAGTGACAAACATGTACACGAAATGCTGTCAATTGTGAACGAGAAACATATACTGAGCCTCATGGACAGTAAAGTTAAAAGAAACAAAACAATATTTGAAGACATTGCACTTGAACTAAAAAAGAAAAATATTATAAAAAGCGGTGTACAAATTCGAAATAAATTTAAAAGTTTTA